ATAGCGCTCCAATAAAGGATATATTCGACAAGAGGCAAATTTATATATCGATCATTATTTTTGATCTCCTTCTCTGGTTCCATAAATTGTCCCATAAATCGGACGATTACGCGTGTCCTCCAGCAGTGGCGGTGGAACTTCTCTTGCCCGATTGGTTCTCGAAAACGCGTTCCCCCGACACGAATTAATTTCTCGTCCATTCGACGCAGCCAAGGAAAGCACGCTCTGATGAAGTAATAACGAAAGTAGAACGAGCCCATGTTGATACGATGTGGCCCACGTTTCGATGCAAATCAGTTAGCAACTTGCCAACTTTCGCGTGCTAATAGTTGTACCTTTGCCACCCACTAATTATGGAAATTCCGTCGGAGTACACGCGTGTGTCGTTTTACTCTTCTGAACGATCCCCGAAACTCGGATTACAGGCTACCGCTTTTAACGCCTTCCGGGAACTTTGAGCAGCCTTCTTTTTGTCCTCGTCCTGTCCCAATAACTTTTCTACGTGCCAACGAACGTAACGTTTAATAAGGAAAATTGCCAATAGTTGCGAATACTTTCTCAATTCGCCAAGATAACTAGGAACCTAATACAAACTCGTGAGATTTCGTGAAACTAGCTTAACTTTAGTCACGCGACGATTCTATACAGAAAACAGTCGGGAACCAATTTCGGTTCATTTCGAGTGGAATTATTTTGCGACATTCATTACATCTTGATATTTAACATATTTTCATTGTCACTCGAATAACGATGCTGTTTGTAAAATAAAAATTTCAAATTTTTCACTTCTCTGTTATTTTACTTTTCTCGCAAGAAACATAGTAAGAAGTTATTTTGCTGTCCTAAAGGAGATTCAAATTCACAAATCAAAAACTGACCATAACTAAGAGTAATTCTAACTACTTTCAGAGAACAGTAAATTAACAACAGTCATAGAGCGGATGAAGATTTGTATTCGAAAATGAATAATTAGTTTAATGTTCGTTGTTTACGTTCGAAAATGATTCCAGAGCAGAGTCAGGAAGCCTATTTTCACAGATTCGGGCACAATGCCGTTGCGTCTATGGGAGTGCATGGCTCTGTATAATATTACCGTAAAACACCCGTTACCTGTGCACCGCCGACTTCGACGTCCATTAAATCATGAAGATACAGAACAGCCGATACAAAACCGTGTCACTGCATTATCGCTGTTCTATTTGTATCCGTTTAGACGACAAAATTGCTTGGATTACCCACGATTCGCTCACGATTCGGCCTGGCCCCATCGGTTGACGTCGTCGTTTTATCGGTAATAGTGCCTCCGGTTTTATAGTGACACGCTGTTTTATACTTTTCGTGACTCGTAAATTTCACCAACGGCTTTATCGTTAATATCGCTTCGTGAATCTTGCAGGAGGACGCAGACCTCAGTGTCTCCTCAGCTGTTACAGCAATTTATCAACCATCAAAAGTTAACGGACAAACAGTTCTAAGCTTTCGAATATTGTGTGAATTTTAGCGCAAGATTTTTGACATTGGTCCGCCGTTTTTGTATCGTTGATATATTTAAAGTCTTTGTTTGGAACAAAAGTAAATTCAATCATCCGGTAGATCTACTTCGTCACTTTTCCCTTTACGATTACTATTTTAAGCTACAAATTACAAAGAGAAACTCTTCAAGACAAATGTCTTATTTCCATAAGTTCATTTATCGGAAGAGAATGGCATAAATAGTAACGAATACTAAAGCAAATTAAAATAAAAAATAATATTTATGACATCATTACTCTTCTCTACTTTTCGATATACGAAATAGGCCAATATACGTAGTTTCTGAACGCTTGAAATATTGATGAAACAACGAGGAATATCCAACTAATATCTTGAGCATAAGACAACGACACACAGAAAATTCGTGACATTCTGACACGAACAATAAAGACTGGAAGAATGAATGAACCGCAAGTCGATTCTAGGTTCGGTCAGACGCCTGAAGCTGGTACCGATAAGTAGTACGAGAGGCAAAAGCAATGGTGGACGGGTGTTTGAGAGGAGAGCGTGTTATAGACAGCGAGCATGGAAGCACGAAGCTCGAGAAGAAGAACGGACGGAGATAGAGAAGGACAGGTCTCTCTCTATGTCGGTGGAAAAATGCGGAACTCATGCAATTACAGCGTCTTTGCTCCGGAAAGATCGTACGGGTTATCAGCCACGTGTGTGGCAATAGCCAAAGGCACTATCGGCGTGTCCTACGCTATATTTCTTTTGTGTCAGCGATCTATGGAAACCAGCAGATCACAATGGGTGCTTGAAAGTAATTCTAATAGGGGGCTCCGCGATAGGCCGAGCTCGTTCGCGACTTAATCTACGGCCACGGAAACTTAGTCACGCGTACATACCTATCTCTATGTACTTACATGTTGCGTTGCAATGTTACGTAGAATGGAATTATATTTAGAAGGTAGATGGTGGATACTACGTTACGATACGTGGGTACCCGGTTTTTCAATTAACCGTCCAGAAATTTGCATGGAAATAGATGATATTTGCTTGACCCGTTCCGAACAAAATTTTTATTTCAGTTTGTTAAACAATTGGATTAACATTGTTATAAAGAATGGCACTCAAATTAACAAAGACTTTATGAGCAAGTATAAAGTAGGTTTAAATTTGCAAGTGAGGTTTCTGCTTAAAAGTGGATACACGTTCCGATTTGTGGGACGATAGATCTTGATACGAAGACTCGGACGATCAACGATATTATTCAATAAAATTGTCAATAAAAAAAGACAAACAAACGAAAAATGTCGTGAATAAGTGGATTTACGATATTTCTATTCGTATATGCTATAATGTGCTAATGAAAGTTCCGATGTTCCACGGTCAGGCAAAATAAATTTGAATTTCAACAAATTGGAGAGAAATCAACGGTTACAACTTGAAAGAGGAAATTTATCTATCTCTGTATAGCATGCGTGTGCGATGTTGTTTCTAGTAAAACATTGTGCAAGAAACTGATCCTGAAAGCCTTGTGCTGTTTTCAAGCACACCGCAATTGAGCCGCGCGACGATTTGAATTCGATTGTTACTCCTTCGATATGTCTTCGGCTAGTACAGGGTCCGAGTTCGGTTGTACTTTGTTTGCTTGTTCCCCTGTATCCAGAGCATGCGAGCTAATGTATTCTGAAGGCAATCATTGCGGTGCCTTGTTGTATGTAAATCACCGTTCCTGACGGAGATAGATTGTTTGAGGTAGTTTGCTACATCGTCACCGTTCCAAAATAGATTATATTTTGCCGAATTTTTCGCACTATGCCTATTTTAGGGACACGTGTTGAGAAAATGGTCAAATCTGAAAAAGTATTCGAAAAAAGAATACTCTGATATTTTTATCGTTTAATTACATGTTTAGTTGAAGTATAGAAATACAAGATTCCACAGAACGTCAATCAGTTGGAAAGGGAACGACGAACAGTATCTTTCAAATCTCGAATTAAGATCCAGATCATAAACTTCAAACCTCTCAGAAATAAAGATTTTCTAGAAAGACTTTATTCGGCATCTTGTTTTTCTTCGCAGTTTCTACACTTTTCGCGAAAAATCTGAAAGCAAGCGATAAAAGCGTAAACAGAGTGTCAATAAAATACCGGGAAATGAGTGGAATGTGTTGCAGCCGGTGCGGTGTGGTGCAGTTGCTCGATAAGATCGTTAAAAGTGAATCGTTGCGACGTTATACGCCACGAAAACATTCTGTTCGATCGTGCATTCATTTCATAATGTGTGTAAAATTATCGCGACCCGGAACGACGAATGTGAAACAACAAGGGCACAACCTATCTCTAATCAGAGCTTAGCCAGCGTATCTTTTACCGGAAACTTCATATTGGGAAGATTTGCGGATAGTTTTTTTTACCCTTCTTTTCATAACGTACTATACTGTATAAGAAGTAACTGCATACATAGATAAATCAAAGAATATAACATTAATAAAACTATATAAATAATGCAAATGAGTTTAATCTCTTATTGCTGAATACTTTTTCCCCTTAATATCTCGAGAAACAAATTTCCCCAACACCACAATCTGACGCTTTCCTTCTCGGCGTAAAGTACACGTGCAAAGTCCAAGTGCAATAATAACACGATTGCTCCCACGAAACCAATAACATGGCTAACGTTTCTTGTTAATACATCAGAACATTAAGTCGCCATTAAAGAAAAGTCGTGGAAATGATCGTCGGATCATTAACGTGTCACATAATGAAACAATGTAATATCATGTAAATGGTTAAAAATGCCGGTGAAGCGATGATGCACGACCTATTATACGAGTTATAAACAAATAGCGGATATAGTAGCCAGTATGCGATCGTTAAAGTATTTTCTTCGGCTAAGGTGTGGCAAATAATAAGCATTCTCGTGGCACGCACGTATCATGGTTATGACGATAATAGAAAAATTGGATAATTTTAAACATGAGTGGAAGCTGGTACCACCAGCGACACGTACGGTTCCGGTTCAACAAATAGAACACACATAACACCCGGACGATATTACACGACACGCACTTGTGACCGTTTCTTGATCACGATTCGGGACTTTCCAACATTCGATTGTAGCAAAGAAACTGTTAGTTCGAATAGTCAGGAAATGTCAGTCATGCATACACATGAATACTATACATTTCCGATATTGACGGGCTATTATACGCTAAAGTGAATCAAAGAAGCAAACTTCCACATACTGCGTAATAAGACAATTACAGACATATATATATACACATAGGTACTTTCTTTTTATCATTCTTGTATACATGCATTGTCAATCTTTTTCTAACTGTTTATTCATTAGGATCTGCTTAAAAAGATTTACATATCCTGCCTCGGAAATTCTAAATTACCAAAAGTACTTATCTTTATCACTAGCAGAGATGAGTTCCCACAATCTATATTTAATCTTTCGAGTGCTTCACTTTTTCCGCATGTGTCATCAATACATATTATATAAAAAGGTCTATAGCGATAAAAATGTTATCAGCACGTATATATATATTCTACGTCAGAATTAACAGGCATTAGAAGTTGCGCTGGTTAATCAACAAGTGACAATGTATAATAAATTCATAACATTACTCTTGGTCGTCCTTTGCTGCGCTCTTACGGTGCATCAAGTGTCAGCCGAAGTACCACCACGTAAGGAACTTTATTGTTATATTTCGTACTTATATACCATAATTTGTATTTAAATTTCTTGTTTAGAAAATTTGTTAGATATGAATGACTAGTTCAGCAGGTTCTCGAATTTTTTTAGAAACGAATTTCTTACTGTGAAATAGAGTATTGTCAATATTATAAAATAATTCGTATAAACTTAAAGATTACATTCTCTACGCTAGTCTTATAATTGTCATATTCGCTTTTAATAGCAAGGATTTTTCGATCATTAACAGATTGTACTTTACCATTGGTGACGGGCTCATGCAGAGGTTATTTCCCGAGATTCGGATACGATGTAGAGATGGGTCAATGCGTACAATTTATACATGGAGGTTGCGAAGGAAACTCGAACAATTTCTTAACTCTGGAAGAATGTGAGCGATCATGCTTAGTTTAGTAAGTCCTGTTTGTTTTTAGTCTATAGCATTTGAAAAACGGATTAGGAGAGAGCCGCGCATGCAGTAAGCACAATTAGTTTTGGCTTTTTCCACTGAATATTAATTATCACTGGTTAACAAATTTTAACCTTTTTCCAATTTTACAACCTTGTAGAAAAAGTTATATACGAAAGAATCTCTGCTACTGTCAACAACAAGGGCATAATACCAAACCATCAATTTCGCCTTCAAAAAAAATATGATACCATTGAGGAAAATCATCGTACGATTCAACAAATTCTCTGATCAGAAGAAAAGGAATATTGTTCAGCATTCTTTCTTGACATCGAAGATGCATTCGACGCAATTTGGTACAATGGATTACTCTCTAAACTACGATGTCTTCTACCCATTCGATTACACACACTAATCACATGTTACATTGAAAATACATAGTTCTATGTAAAAGTTGAAGACACTATCTCTGATATCAGTTCTATTAAAGCCTGTTTGTTTATATCAGAGGTGGAATTGTCAGACCTTAAAATTCTTAGTCTGTTCGCAAAGAAAGTAGTATAAGAACTATGCACCTGTCTCGTTTAAATACTACCACGTACAGATAAAATTAAAAGTATTTAATAACTTCATATCAGAAACATCTTGTGGTCAATTTTATTTACCGCTCATTTGTTCAAAAATAATACACTGATCATCATTATCTATCAATTAATCATTATTTGCTGCTTATTTGTTTAAATTTGCGTTGTTTAAGAAAGATTATCCTTATCTGACATAATATGGCAGTTATTAATTATACCTAACGATACTTTTGGACTTAATCCAGTTTATTTACCATAAATCGCAACAACAGGTACCGGTGCGGATACTGGAGTACCGCAAACTTTTAATCTGTACCGAAATTTAACGTGATGGTTCATACAAAATAAATCTTCGCATTCTCACACTCATCTTTCGTATATACAGGATGTTTGGCTGCAGGTGTAAATAAATTTAACGGATAATTCTTTAAACTAAGATAAGATGAAAATAAAAAATTAAAAAATTGCACTTTTGGCTTTGCTTTTTAGTTATTGACAATTAAAAATTAGCCGAAATATCCCTGTGCGCAAGCAAACCTCCTTACACAAGCGAAAGTAGATCAGCCTAAGCAACGGGGTACACAGGGATCCTTAAATCGAACGATGCATAGATAGTAGCTTATATCGTACATGTCGTAGAGAAGAAGATTATGACATTTGAAGACATAAACCATCCTGCGCGATGTTTTGTAAGTAAAATCGTAGATTAAACATTATATCTTTAAAATCCATAACAGTATATCGGAAACTGTCCCACAAAATTTTCAAGTTTAGGAGATTAATATTTTCTTTAATCCTTTGCCTCCATAAATACACACATAAACAATGTTTATTGTTAACCCATAGTAGGTAATTGAGTGCGCTGCTCGCGCAAAGAGATAAAGCCTGAACGTTGTAGAAAATAAGTGAATGAAATGAACCGAGTTGATATAATTACAAACAAGTCGTCTATAATATTTTCTATATTCGCTGTAGCAAATTGCAGAGGGCGTAAGAAACACTGAGATTTTTTTCTAGGTCGGTATTTCAGAACCTGAGACACAAAGAGCTATTTAATGTCACGTCTACTCTGCTTTTAGTTAATGTCACTACTATACTGAATCGATAACGTCGCATGTGACACAATGATGATAAGGAGGTCAGATGATCACCAAAACATGGAACACAAAAAATGTATGTTAAATGTCATAACTATGTTGTATTTAGTTAATGGTGTGGTATTAAAAATGCATTGAGTGTCACATCTATTTTATGCTTTGTTTGTGGTACATAATACATGTGATGTTTGTATAAGAATGTAGCAAATTTTTATTTCTATTGACTCAATCAGTTTTGCTAGTTCAAATGAATATAATTTCTATACATACTGCTTTAAATAGTAAAATATAAATCCTAGCAATTGCCTATATCTCATTTATGGTTTTATTGTTAGGTTAGCATGTTAACAACGCCACGAACAAAAATGCCCGCTGTAGCGATTTTGGCGCCCTAACTTCAGACAGTGTTAGTATGTATATGTATAGAGGGAATTGCTTTAAGTTTGGACACTCGTTTAACCTGTTTGTAGTGTGACAGAAGATTTAAAAGCGCGATAAGTGTTTTATAAAGCTTTATTTCGCTTAGTACGTAAGAAAACATCGTGTGGAAAAACGACCATACCAAGAGGTATATTGTAACATTTATTTCTTTCACATTCGTGTGAACAAATCGCTTTTGTTTATCTGAAATACATAACCTATGTTTTCACCTATAGATTTATTTAGAAAGTAACGTGTGCTAAGAAAATTTCTTATTGTTTAATATCATTTTAATATCATGTTTTGCATTAATATCACATTTCTGAATTTCTTTTTAGCATACAATCATTATAAGACAATAATACTTGTTTACGCGGATTTCTAACCTGTAAACAGAAATGTTATTTATTCTCCACAGAATTCAAATTTATTTATTGTTCTTTAATTTTCCATGTTTGTAATATACATAAACAACATCTCTGATATTAAATTTGCATATCATGTAGTGAAACTGATTTAACAAGTAATAATACTTATATGTATATTTACAGTGATATGAAGAGGGTAAAGCTGTGACAGTGGGAATTAAACATAAAAATAACCCCGGTGACGACAAGAATATTTAACCTTATGCCCTCAGCTACCGGTACGTATTAAACAGCTTGTAAATATATAATTATTTATCTCTTTTACAAAGGTATTGTTCTGCAAATAATTTTGATATTAACTCCTCAGCTTTATTATAGTAAAATTTATCAAAGTAAGCCTTGAGAAGTGTTGGACTTGACATATATTTGTTGAAATTAAATGATAATTGATTGTATAATGAATACCAAAGGTGTAACACCAATATCTGACCTTTATATAATCAATGTGGCACATACGTATTGCAGGAACTGTGAAGCAAAATAAATAAAGTACTTTGGATTTGTGTGGATGATATTACGTGAAACATACTTCCAGAAGAACTACATAATAGAAGTCCTCTTTAAAAGTAGTAGAATAGATTATAACATGCAATGAAGTTCCCAAGAAATATTCAATCGCTGTTGCTGCAAGAAAAGGTGTGCGCTTTCAGAGAATTTCAGAAGAATGCACAAATCCTAGAAGGTGCAGTTATAGAGCCATTATATAGGCTCTGTAAGATAAATAATAAAATTTTTAATTTATAAAAAAATGCTACAAACTACTGCATAGTATCTGTTATAATTTCATATAATTTGGTACAGAAACATGTTTAAATAATCTTTATGTAACAAGTTTATATGTCAATATAACACAAGGTATATGACCATTGATTAAGATATAACAATAGAATTCAATTTTTATATTAAGATATGACTATATATTACACAGTTTACGATCTTCATTTATGGTTGGTCTGTACCTATATGTAATACTATCAAATCATTTTTGTGTTATTCAAGAACTAATGCTTACTCAAGGCAGTTGAAAAGAGTGGATATGGATATTCAAACAGTACCAACCAAAAATGGTTTTTCCTGCTATCTGTAATGATACAATTAATTACACTATAAAATATAATTTACCTAACGCTAACTATTCAAATAGTAAAAGGGAAACACTACATGAAAAGTTACACATATAATGTATCGGTTTATTATTAGTATCGGACCAATGAATACTGATAATAGTCATTGTCAGTTCTTTTCTTTTTGTTTCATATGAAATAATACTTATATCTTTACACATTTTCACAGGAGGAAATAACCCCATAGGGCAACAGAAGGGTGGGGCGACTATGCCCAGTAATGAAGAATGCGGGATCCGAGATGTTTGGGGACATAATCTCGAAGAAGAATTTCGAACAATTCGGCAAGTCGTGCAGCAGTATCAATATATTGCAATGGATACTGAATTTCCAGGAGTAGTTGCTAGACCCATTGGTATAATATAATAAAATTATAATTTAGTTGTACAATAATTATTTGTAAAGTAAAATATGATACTTTATTATAGGAGAATTCAGGACTAGCGCCGATTATCAATATCAGTTATTACGATGTAACGTAGATCTCTTGCGGATAATCCAACTTGGTCTGACATTTCTCGACGAATCGGGAAATACACCTGGTGGTAGTTATACCACATGGCAATTTAATTTCAAATTCAATTTACAGTAAGTTATACATAATTCAATATAGAACAATATAAAGACATCAAATATAATAATACTAACGTTGAACAATTTTTTAGAGAGGATATGTATGCGCAAGATAGTATAGATATGCTACAAAACAGTGGTATACAGTTCAAAAAACACGAAGAAGAGGGTATTGATCCGTTAGATTTTGCCGAATTATTGATGACATCGGGAATTGTTCTTGTTGACGACATAAAATGGCTATCCTTTCATTCTGGTTACGATTTTGGCTATCTATTGAAACTTCTTACAGATCAAAATTTACCCCAAGAAGAAAGTGAATTCTTCGAACTTCTTAGGATATATTTTCCAACAATATATGATGTAAAAGTATGTTCTCTGTATGACATCTGTTATAATAAAAACTATTTCCACCTCTAATATGTGACATTTTGTTCACAGTATTTAATGAAATCTTGCAAAAATTTGAAAGGAGGTCTACAAGAGGTAGCAGAGCAATTGGAAATTCAAAGAGTTGGTCCCCAACATCAGGCTGGTTCTGATTCGTTACTTACGGGAATGGTTTTCTTTAAAATGCGAGAGGTAAACAAATATTTCGAATAAAACTATATTAACCAACAAATCGTATATTGTCTTATTTTTATAATTATATATATGTTGTTTTAGATGTTTTTTGAAGATAATATTGATGATGCGAAATATTGTGGCCATTTATATGGTTTGGGAACATCATTTGTCGTAAACGGTTCAGGAGGATACCTAGACAGTAATGGAGATAATTCTTCGTCTTCGTAATGTTAAAAACTACCACATCTCAGTCGCAACAGATTATTTCATTACAAATAAAATGTTATAAATAATGTTTCACTTAATGGTCAAGCGTATAGTTCATATCCACAATATTACATTCAAATCACTGCTGTAGATTAAAAAATATTACTACTTGAAAATGAAACTATAGGAACATTTTTTCATATTTGTGCATTTTTTGTATCCTTCAATTTGAGACTTTCATAGGTTTCTTCTGTGATACACGCTATTAATCGAGAACATTTACAATACTGTGCAACATAAAATATGTAATATAGTTTCCTTACAAGCATTTGTGACAATATTGGTATACAAGATACAATTGCAGTACAAAAGAAAAAAAAGGAAACAAATCTACTTTTAAGTGTTTTGCAAAATCTCTATTGGGATATGGAAGGTTGGCTAAGAATAATGCAAAAAAAAAAAAAAACGAAAAAATTAAGAAAAACAAATGCAAGATTGCATTGT